TTTTTTTTACGGGAAAAGTATGCGTGCATTCAATGAAAGCGGCTCAGTGAAATCTTGGAGGGCTACATAGTTCTGTACAACATATTGTAATTCGATCTCCGATGCATATGTAGTACCTTAGAAGCGCCATTAGCGCGAGTTTTTCCAAACTATAGAAGGATGCTCCAAGATGTCGCTCTTTTCCAAGAATATAAGTACCGGTATGTACTTCTGCTGCTGGGAAGTTCATCTAATCCTAATGCCTCTCATTGACCAGCACCAGGTTTAAACATTTTACGATTTACTTTTTTTAAAGTGCTGACGACTTACGAGTATCCTTGGTTCACGTTAAACTGAAGAAAATTCAGATAAAGCAGCCTTCGAAAGATGTAAGTGACCAACAGTGGAATTACACTTCGGAATCTATGTTTTGTATTAGTGCTTCAGTTCTGAAATGTTACTAATGTAAATAGAGCGCTGATGAATTCCCGAAAATATCTAGAAAAAAAAAAGAATTCATCTTGAAGTAGATGCGATCAGTTCGATAATTTATGGTGCGTATAAACTTTACTCAAAGACAGGTCAAGATAGAGTAAATTCATTTCGAATTTGAACTTACTGGATCCGCTGAAAAAAATGTACTGTTCTCCCCTGCTCCTCCGGCATATATTTTTTTTCATCGGATTTCGACAAGGTTTTGTGGAATGCATTTTGTTTTCAGAAAATTCTGTCCATTCCAGTGTCATCAACCGGTGTAATGAATATTTCTGCACGAAAAAATTGTGTCAATTGAAATCTTCACGCAGACACCTTTAAACCCGGGTCGAAGTAATCGAAATGCATGAACTTCCGAAGTACCGAACCGCCGAAGTATTGTGAGGGAAGAGCGACACCTATGATCATCATGTTAGAACAGGAAAACGCGCTAGCGGAGTTTCGAGTCAGTTGTTCATTACTGTACTGTACATTGTAGAAGTACACCAGAATCAAAAATATTTATTGAATGGAAATACTTGCTGTAGCCACTGTGGACAATAATACAGTACATAATTGAAAAGTTCCTGCACAGAAGCTGGCTTAGGAGATAAGCAGACGTATTTCTCCCAAAAGAAGTCGTTTACTAAAATAGACTTACTACGGTATTTCCATGACCGATACAGTCACGCGCGTCTATTTGAGCAACTTTCGTGCAATTTGCAGGTGTCGCTCCATGAGTAGAATTTATTGAATGGCATTGTTGGTGATAATTCTGGAGCTCGAAAAACTTACTGTAAATTAATGGAGAGGATACAGCTCCACATCTGAGAAATTGTCCTCATCAGCATTTACCTTGTCCACAAATAAAAACAAAATAGCTGATGATCAACGGTGAATGATGATAATCTTCTGCCGCGCGCCCAAGAAGTTGTTAGTGTGCTGACATGCACCTAAAAATATTTCTGTCAAGGGTTTCTTTTGATGAAATTTTAAATGTTTTTTTTTTGCAGTGATAACCGTGCTGATCGCCCTGGTCGTGTATCCGGTGTGCTTCTCTGGTGAGCTGGACCAAGGCAACAGGGAGCTGTGGGAATTCGGCTGGGCATATGGCGTTGCTTGGGGCGCAGCCATCTTCCTTTTCGGAGGCATAGTCCTCTTGCTACTGGACAAAGAGTCGGAAGAAATCTACTACAAGGAACGAACGGTGGTCCATGAATCCGCTGCTGGGTCCGACGCTGCATCCGGAAGCAAGGGATGAATATACGCACGCACACACGTGGAATTCCTTCGAGAGAGAGAGATGAGAGAGAGAGAGAGAGAGAGAGAGAGAGAGAGAGA